GGTAATCACTCCCACCATAGTCACTCCCCTCCGTCACTGCATTCTTCCCTTTCCCGCATGCACCTGGCGTGGACTCCGTCCAGGTTCGTTTCCCCTCCTTCGGCCCTTTCCTTCATCTTCTTCTGCGTCGGTGCCGACTCCTGGTTACAGCGCACGCTCACACTGCCGTGCGCTAAACCTTTCAACAGTTGCGGCTGTTTTACGGAAGACTTCGGGGCGGGTCGGCTACTACCCGTAGACAGTTCAGTTGGTCTTCAGCCTGTTTGCCAAGTCCGGCGAACGATTTGCACACCAGCGTCGCTGCGGCCTCCTCCCAAGTCCGACAAACGTTTTGCTCTCCAGTGCTGCGAGTCTTCCACAGTGCCCCGGTCTAACGAAAGATTTGCACGTCAGCATCGCCGCTGCCCCCTATGCCCAGGCGGTGCTCCCCTACTACGGCCCCCACCAGGCATGCTCACACTCACCTCTCACAGCGGGTAGTGGGTAGAGGACAGCATCCCCTGGTTGTGCCCTCCTTCGAAGCCTGTGCCGTGAGCCTAGGCGGAGCGGATCCCGACGCAGATCTTGGTGGTAGTAGCAAAAATTCAAACGAGAACTTTGAAGGCCGAAGTGGGGAAGTTGTACTGCCGCAGCCCTCGCCCTGGCGCAGTTCCCCGTCTCCCCATTCTCATCGGGCCCGCTCACACTCAAACCTCTCACAGCAGATTTGGGTCCCTCTTGCTACTCGAGCTGAGCACCCACCAGCTCGCATGAACATTGAACTCTTAGGTTCGTGTTTCAGCAGCCCATGGGTATACCAACCGAGTCAGGCCCGTTGGTCCCCACAAACAGTCTTGGTACTTACACCGGTGCTGCATCCCAAAAATGGGACCGCCAACTATTATAAAAAATACAAGTAAAAAATAAAAATACAAACACAAGAAAACAGTGTTTTGGGGGAAGGGAGACCGTTGGTAACCCTTTCAGTTCTGCCGACCGATCCCATGAATGGGACGGCAACAAGACCAAGGGGGATAGCCCGCCAGGCCGTCAACCCCTCAGTATCTTCAATCACTCCAATCCTCCATCGCTGCCAGCTATCGCCCTCGCTCCCCATACCTCCACTTTGAAAGTCCAATGTCCTAACCAATAGCACTAGGCCCAAGGCTGAGTCTAGCACTAGCGGAAACCCATATAAATGGCTACTGCTATGCATGTAAGTCTGCTAAACACTCCAATATCACAAAACCCATGGCCGTCAGACCCTGCGCCTGCCACACGGTGGCTCTGCTCGTATTCTACTCCATCACGCTCCCATTACTGCCCAAGGGCAACATTGTCGCCAACGTCGGCCCCCGCATAGGCGAACGCACATCGTGGTCAGAACAACTGGAAGAAAAATGCTTAGTCTTATTTCAATCAAAGTCAGAAGCTTCGCCGGTGAAAATGCAGGCTCTATAACATCAATAAGACACACTGTGACGCCCAAACCTCACGCCCAGCGCGACTTCCTGATCGGAGTAGGATGTGGGCCTGGAAGTGCAAAAAGGGGTGTGCCAAGGATTTTTGGGGAAAGTGGAGTCCCAGGTCAGAACTGAGATCTCCTGTGACAGGGTCTTTCGGGGGCACGAGTGCAATTTGGCGAAGAGGGCGTTTTCGGGTTACCAGCGCGGTTCGCTCAGGACCGAGCGAGCCATTGGTTTCGGGGACAGCGGTTCGGGGGTTGGTCCCTTCGGGGTAGGTGGGGTTCTGATGAGTTCGTCTGTCGGGAGTTGCCACGTGGCGCTGGTCGTCGCACGTGCGGGCTAGGCCTTCGGGACTCCGGGGTTCTTTGATCGTTGCGCCGTCGGCAGTTCCCGCAGGGTGTGCTGGGCCAATAGGGGGCTATGGCCGGCCACGGAACGACACTGAGTTGATGGTATGGAAGAAGAAGGCGGAAGGGAGGGAAGCTGGTAGTGATGACGACAAATCCTGGGTGGATGTAGTAGGTATGGTCGGGAGAAGGGAAATCAGAGCACCGGGGGTCGCTAGGGGTGGCGCAGTGGAATTCCCGAGGACATAATCGATTCTCGGTGTGGCAGGGATATCGCTGCCTTAGGATCTCGTTTATCCAAGGGGTGAAATAATCCGGGTTGTAGGATGAGTCAAAATTCCAGGATCGCGTCATCGTGTCATTGCGGTGTCATGGGCTACCTAAAGATGGGTCCGCGGCGATCGCCGTCACCGTGTGCGAGCACGTGCAGGCCGCGCGAATAGCGTCGGACTAAGATGGGAAGCCAGGGCAACGCTACGGTCCCGATGCCTATGCATATACCAAGGGAGAGCCCAACTCAGAGGAACCCGGCTAAAGGGAGACCATCATGCGACACAAGCAGGGTATTGTACAGGGTAGAGTGGTAAGAGAGTGGCGACGTCTGAAGTAGGCAGAGCTGATCGTGATGAAGTCCATGAAGCTGCCGATGACGTCCACGATGAGAAGTCTGGAATGCCGTCGAGGAAGAGCCGCAACGTCGACGAGCCGAAGTAGCAAAACTGGAGTGGATGGAGTACTGAGAAGTCAAGGACGTAGAAAGGTAAGTTAGAGTCAATCGTCGTATCGAGCAAGACGACGACGGGTGCGCTGTGGACGCTCAGAAGCATCCGGCTGCTGCTGAAGGTCTGCCTCAGATGGAGCAGGCTCGACTTCAGCGGTCTCCTCAGTCGGGGGAGAAGGAGGAGGGTCAGTGGGCTGAGGAGGAGCAGTGAACCCAGCACGACGAGCACGGTCATAGGCACGCATCAACATGCGAGCGTGCTGCAAGTGCTAGAGGGGCTCCCAGCTAGCCTCCTCATCAGGGTAACCCTTCCAACGTACGAGATACTCGACGTGGGGAGGGTTGTCGTCGGTGACTCGGCGACCAATGATGTCTGAAACGAGGAAATCCTCGTGGCCGTCCACCATGAGGGGTGGAGGGTGCTCGTATGGTCGTCTAGTGAAACGCTCAGACGGTCTGCGGTAAGGACGCAGTAACGAGACGTGGTAGACATCATGCACACGAGCCTGGCGTAGGTAGTCGGGCAGCTTCACACGAAAGCTGACCGGGCWAGATGCCGTATCAGAACCGACGGCCTGGAGGATGCGGCATGGGCCAAAGAAGCGACGCCGGAACTTGCGAAGCGTGTTCGCTTCGAGCTGTAAGTGGCGGGCGTCGATAAGCACATCATCACCGACTTTGAATGGATGGTCCATCCTCGATCGGTTCGCACGTGCTGCCATGCGAGTTTGGGAAGCAGCTATGTGCTCATGTGCGGTCTTCATGATCGACGTCATGTGTGCAACCCAATCATCCAGCGCGGGACAACTCGTGTCAGGGTGCATCTGTGACGGTCGAAGAAAGTCCGCAAGAACACGAGGGTGATAGCCGAGGTCGCAATAGTAAGGCGACATCCCCGTGGCTGGCGAGACGGCGTGGTTGTAGGCTATCTCCGGTTGGGCAAGATGAAGATCCCACTGCTGGTCGTCACGAACATTCTTTCAAAGAATATCTTCGAAAGTCCTGTTCGTGATCTCAGTTTGACCATCAGTCTGAGGATGGTAAGGCGAGGAGAAGCGGAGTTGAGTGTCGTATACCTCGTGGAGCCGTCGCCAGAATCGGCTGGTAAAGTGCGGGTCACGGTCAGATATGATGCTCAGAGGTAAGCCGTGGTCACGCACGACTCGGTCAAACACGATGTCGGCGACCTCACGTGCACCGATGGCATAGCAGCACGGAACAAAGCGTGCATGCTTCGTGAAGCATTCGACGACAACCAGGATAGCATCATGACCGCGAGGGGTCGGAGGACGAAGAGGACCGATAAAGTCCATCGATATGGACTGCCAACGACCCTCAGGGATAGGAAGAGGCTGGAGCAAACCATAAGGCATGTGGTTCGCACTGTTCACCTCCTGACAGGTGGGACACTCTACGATGTAGTCCTTCACAAAGTCCTTGCGCTTCGGCTAGACGTACAGGCGGCTCACACGAGCCAACGTCTTGTGGAAGCCCATATGACCGGCAACTGCCTGGTCATGGAACTCGGCTACTGCTCAGATACGTAGCTGTCCAGTGGAGGGAACGCAAATACGGGGCTCTCTGGTGCCCTGTGAACCGTGCCAATACACGAGACCGTTGTCCCCGAGAGAGTAGTTCGGRACGGTCTTGCCACTCCGAATGGTCGCGTGGACGTCGCGATAGTCGAGGCAGTGACGGTACTGAGTGCGAAACTCGTCGATCACCGAGTGGTGGACGGTGGTGACGGAGATGGAAGAGAGTTGGATCTGCTCCTGGTTGTGGTCAGGGCGCCGGGATAGGGCATTTGCGACCCGATTAGTTTCACCCTTGATGTGCTCAGTGGTGAAACTAAACTCGAATAGGTCGCGCCACCAGGGAGCCTGTCGAGGAGTAAGCTTCGGCTTAGTGAGAAAAGCCTGGACAACAGAGTTGTCCGTGCACACCGTGAATGGTGCCCCGTGCAGGTAGTGCCACCAGTGCCGAGCGGCATAAACTACTGCGAGAACCTCACGTTCATCAGCAGTGTAGTTTATCTCGGCGGGCAGGAGCTGACGGAAGTAAAAGGCTATCGGACAATCACCTGAGCGAGACTCGACAGTGCCGTCCTCGGCGATGGTAGGAGAATAGTCAATAGAGGGCTCGTCAATAGCTGGACGAGTAAGCGTCAGTCGGGAAGCAGTGGTAGGGGTAGGTGGTGGGAAGTGAGGGATACGAGGATGAGAGGAATCAGGAGAGGAGGGGAAGATCTGAGAAAGCACTGCTCCTATAGCAAAGTCTGACGCATCGGTGGTAAGCTTAAAAGGGCGATCAAAATCGGGTAGGTGAAGAATCTGTGCGCATGTCACCGCCTTCTTGAGGGCGCGGAAGGCGTCCTCGTGAAGGGGTGTCCAAGCCCAGGGTGGGTTCTTCCGGAGGAGGGTGGAGGTAAGGACGTAGGAATACCTAGCGGATGAAGTTACTATAGTAGTTGGTCAGGCATAGAGAGCTGTGAAGCTGCTTGGCGGATGTGGGGGCGGACCACTCCGCAATAGCAGTGATCTTCACGTCGTCCATGTGGAGACCCTAGTCATACACGTAGTGTCCTAAGAAATCCACTTTGTGCTGGGCAAAGCGGCACTTGCTCAGCTTGGCGTAGAAGCCATGTCTGCGCAAGCGATCAAGGACGTCGCTGAGGTGTCTGAGGTGCTCCTCAAGGGTACGATTGTAGACCAGGATATCGTCGAGGTAGACGTACTGCTCCTGGATGTCCCTGAAGATGTCGTTCATCGCCCTCTGGAAGGTGGCAGGTGCATTGATGAGGCCGAATGGCATCACAGTAAACTCGTAGTGGCCGAAGCGCGATCGGAACGCTGTCTTCGGTTGGTCGGTTGCAGCGACGCGGATCTGATGGTAACCGCTATGAAGATCAATCTTCGTAAAGAAGCGGTTGCCTGCTAGGCGGTCGAACAGCTCATCGGAACGAGGCATGGGATAGCTGTTCTTAACCGTGTAGAGGTTGAGACCGCGATAGTCGATGCAGAGACGGAGAGTTCCATCCGCTTTGCGAGCAAAGAGGAAGGGTGCACCCCACGGGGAGTTGCTGGGCTTAATGAAACCCAGTCTCAGGAGCTCCTCAAGCTGACGCTTGAGTTCGGTGGCCTCGGGAATCGAGAGTCTGTAGGGTGCCTGGTGGTGAACACGATAGTCAGGCACAAGCTGAATGGAGTGCTCGACGTCACGCATCGGTGGGATG